GTGGTTGCTGCAATTTGGTGTGCACATGGACTTTGACACTTCAAAGTCAAATGTACAGATGACAGGCCAAGAAAAATTGGGGGTGAGGTACAAAGTGTCCTCTGGGGAGGGGGGAGGTTTAGAATGTTATGCTTGCAGAGAATTTGCAAGAAACTTACATGAACTAGGGACCTTAACCTAAGGACCTATTTTCTGCAAAATGAGAGGACTGTGTGGGTAAAATTTCACGGGATTTTGGTAACTGTTGATTGAATTCTCAATTCGGGAAGTATGTTGGCTCTGTGTGGCTGGAAGTTTTGCCCAGGCAGGAAGCTGAGTGGGAACACTTTTTTTTCCTAATTTAACACTCTTCAAGCTTTAGTGAAACAAGTCAGTCTCCCCGAAGCTACAGGGTGGAGCTTCCCACTCACCTAGGAGGCCTCTCAAGGGTTGACAGAGGGAGCTGGAGAATTTAGATTCCAAGATGAGACATCCAGCCATGTTTGCTTCATCACCAATGCTCTCATTGGGTCATTTCGGTTTGTTATTTTTTTGTAATAAGTGGTTATTTTGGTGATGAGTAGCTTGAATAAACCTCTGGATAAATAGTTCCCCAAAAACCCCATCTCAAGAACCCAGGGCTTCGCCACTGGGGGCCACCTCTGTGTGCCAACCCACCCTCCCTCTCCGTCCTCCCCCTCCCCCCGGAATTGCTCTCATGCAGAGCGTCTGTCAATTTTGACATTTTTGAACCGTGTCAACAGTTTCTTTCGTTAAATGGAGTCAGTGCATTGAACTGGAATTTGCAGATTAAAACCATGCTTGGTGACATGAGAGAGGAGTTCCCAGTGTTCTTCTCAGGAAGGACAGGAGTAGGCACCTCACAGATACACTGCCCCGCTTGCTCGAGGACAGGCTCGAGGACAGGGTGGTGTCATAGTCCCCAAATGTGTCATCCCAGAGCTGGGCCAAGGAGGAAAGAGGGTAAGAGCAGCCAGAAGACCAGCTGGCGCCTCGGCTGTGCGTGATCTGGGCGGGGTCTGCTCATCCGGGATGGTAGGTGCTGGCAGGGCAGCGTCACCTCCACTGTCACTTAAGCACAGTTATGGACGCAATACGTACTGCTGGAGGCTACAAGAATGCTGTCAGCACTTATTCAGTCACTGGTTTTGCAGTGGTGTGAACGGAGGCCCCAGGGCAGTGCATGGGGTTGGGGGTACAGTCTCGGATTCCCAGGAATCCAGGCCTGCTAGAGCCACTGCACCCGGGGACTCCATCAGAGCCTGGCTCTTCCTCATCTTTCATGGGTGTGGGACCCTCAACACATGCCTGAGATTTCTTCAAAAGGAAAGTGGCTTTGTAGGTAGAGAGTGGAGAGTATGTCTCTTCACAGTGTGAGGTACTTATAGTACAGCGAGTGTGGGTGAGTTCTCTCCAGGCCCCGGTTCTCACAGCACCCCGTGACTCCCAGACTGCAGCCTCAACCCCATGCTGAGCAGAGGGGAAATGCCTCCAGAAGGTTCTCTGGCCCCGGATGGAGGAGAAGCCCAGCCTCAGTCATGGTTTCTGAAGTATGAGGTCCCCAGAGAAGGAATGGTGGTTGTAGTACACCTGTGGGCCCATGTGGACTTGTTGTCCTGCAGTCTGGGCAGATGTGAGTCTGGTAAAAGTCCAAGGAGGTGGGTGGAGTTGAGGGCACCTGGCACAGGGGTCAAGGGCACAGATTGAGCTTGCTATGTCCCCAAGCCAGGAGCTCCAAGGTGTTTCTTCCTTGAAGCCCAGTGGTTCCTGGATTCAGGCTTGGCCTGTACATATCAGGGGCTCCCAATGACTGGATTAAAAACATAGATGAACCGAAGGTGACTGCATTTAGAGAACCCCAAAAGCTCCTGAATTTCATGCTCTGAGCACGTATCACTAAGTGACCAGAGAAAGTGTGGGAATCAGGGCAAGACAGGGCTGTTGCCCTGGACGAAGGCGCCTGGAGAGAGTCTGCGAGTAGGTGAGGATGGCGGGAAGTGTGCACACTTGGAGCCAGCTATTTCTCGCTAATCACTACAAAGTACGTGCGCTTCGCACATGAAGTGTTTGAAGACTTCCAGCCCACCGGCAGTGTGTCAGTAGACTCAGTGATACAGAGTGCTTCTTGGTGTGTGGTGTTGGACAGGCCATCCCGAGCTGGTTCAAGGACAGCTACATTGGCTACAAAGATCAGAGTCATCCTACGTCCCAGGCAAGGGCACCGACCTACTCAAGTGTGCAATAGCCACCATAGTGTCACACTGCTATGACTTCTGCGGCAGAGGACTCTCTTCCATCAGGGCAGGTCCGTCAGAGAAGAGACCTCAGGGAAGGAACTGGCTGCCAGGTGGACACCTCTCTAGCTCTGGCCTGCCTTTAGTTCCCAGAAAACAAACACACACACACATACAGAACGCACACAGAGAACACACAGACACCACACACATACAGATGGGTCCCCATTGGCCAACTCGTTGGAGAATCCCATGACGATTTAACATGTTGAGGATCTTTGTGGCACCTTTTCCTATCTATAGACTTCCATGTAACAACAGCCATACAGTAGAGACAGACACCTGGGACTGGTCCCGCTGTCAAGCACATGGAGATTCGTGTGAAATACCAGAGCTGAAGAGATTAGAAGTTAGCCCAAGGCCACAGCACGATGCTGGACTCAGTTTGATCCTAGGTTCATCAGACATCCAAATGCACTTGACCTCAGCTTTCTCCTTCCAACCTGGGTGTGTGCAGAGGCGGGTCTTGGTTGCTCCCTTTGTTGGGTCTGTGTTCTGACAAATCCAGTGTATACGAGCCCACTGCAGAGCCTCTGTTGAGACTCCAGGGACGGGAGGTGGCTAGTCGAGGAGTTTTAAGAGGGACACCGAGGTGTGAGTGTGTGAAGTATGCAGACTCTGACCCAGAGGTTGGATACCTTTGAGGGGGTGGCCATGCACGGTTTGGCTCTTCGGTTCTGGTGTTTTGTTTTCCCTGTGGAGTAGGGTTTGGAAAATTCCCAAGAATCTGTCACTGTGCTATTCTAGGGAGTCACAATCCAAATGAAATTCACCACGAGACTATGTAATTCGGTAGATTATCTTTTTCTGTTTTTTTTCTACAGAACAGATTTGAACTCATGGCCTCCCACTCACTAGGCAAGCACTCTAACACTTTGAACCATGTTCATAGATATTTTTATTTTATTTTTCTGTTAGAATCTCCAACTTTTTACTTGGGATTGACCTTGGACCTAAATCCTACCTATGCCTCCCAACTAGTTGGGATTCTAAGTGGATACCATATGCATACCTCACACAGCTTTTTTGTGGAGATGGGATCTTGCTAGCTTTTTGCCCAGGCTGGCCTCAAGCCTTGGTCCTCCCAATCGCCACCTCCCCAGTAGCTGGGACTACAGACAGGTATGAGCCACTATGCCTGACTGTAACTCAGTAGTTCAGATGGCTGAACACTTATGGCAATCAGAAGCGAAGGTGATTTCCTCTCTGAGTAGCCCTGGATGTCCAGCCTTACTGTCCCATCTGAGTGGCATCCTTGGGGCGGCCATGGAGCCTGGCCTAACAGTTTCTTCTCTAAATCAGGGCAGGTTATTCCAATTTAAACACTGAAGACGTAAGTGAAACTCAGTTTGGAGTTCTTTTGGGTCTACCTGGGAAGTTAATGATCACAGAGACAGAAATCCATCTCTACATGACTTTTTATGAGCTGACCAAATGATTCAGAATATTGGGGTTTTATTTATTGGGGATGACAGGTGCAACCAATGGCCATATGTAACACTCACAATGCTCCAAATTCCCAGAGGCAAGGATGGATGGCAAAGATTTCTTGTTTTGGGAGAATTTCACTCAAACTTGCTCATTTCCCCACATTCCTGAGGCTTTGAGGATGGCTTGGTGCCCCCTTTCCTGCCTCTTCCCCAAGCTCATCCACCAGCAACCCATGGCATTGGGAGGGACTGATGCCTTTGTCAAGCCCTTCACCTCCAGCAGACCCAGAAGCCTCCCAAGTGGATTAGCCTTTGGGGTGATGGAACCCACAGCCTCATCTCTGTACTTGGATACCCCTCCTCCCCTTCCCCCACCTCTGGGGCCACCTGTCCATTAAGGCCCTTCTCCAATGCCCCTGCTGCCTGGCCTCCCTGGCTGCCCTCTCTTCTCCTTTCCAGGTCATCCTCTATCTCCTGTCGTCACCTGTGGCTCTTATCATACCTTCTCTTGTATGCCAAGTATTTGTTATTTCTCTAATCTGTGTTTTAATTATTTTTATCCTCCCTACTCACATAGCTTTTGGCATTGCCATGACCCAGTAGGTATGCTATAAATATAGATATTGTTGACTTTACAATTAAATGGAACATGTAGCCTACACTTCTGAGTTTTATGAAACTGGATCCAGCCCAAGGAGTTTGCAGGTTTCCTGACTCTTCCATGTGTGTAAACTTTCCTTCATTCCCTCCCTCTCCCTCCTCCAATGGGGTTTGTCAGAGTCCATTCTTTTCTTTGGAATGATGTAGAATGTGAGGTCAAACATGGCCGGGCCTGGCTCTGTGCGAAAAGGAGCTCACGTGCTTCTCTTCTTTCTCACACGCAGGAACTCCCAAGATGTCCTTGGTGGCGGTGCCTTTCTACCAGAAGAGACACAAGCACTTTGACCAGTCATATCGTAACATTCAAACAAGATACCTTCTGGATGAGTACGCTTCGAAAAAGTAAGCTGACATGCTCGGGCTAGACTGGCTGAGTTCTGATTGGGGGGGTCTGATGTCTCACAGGTCCCCTGCACCCTAGAGATGAACTGGACCCTGTCCGTGCCATGAGGCTGACCGCCTGTGTGGCCACACTGGGTGGAGTTCCACACCAGGTCTTGTGCATCTTAGGGACTGGCTGAGCCTCTGGTGGCAATTGCAAAGGGACTTCATTGTTTTTCTCTTCCTCAAATATCTTCTAGCAGTAGGATCACCAAAAATACAGGACAATGAGAAAAACAAAAAGACTGTTTGCAGGCAGGGCTCGTGGAGGCAAGGCAAAGATGGAAAGGACTTCCATATTAACGATAACTTGACTAGGTCTCTGATACCTGTGTGACACGTGACTTATTGCCTGCAAATGCAGCTGGGGTCAGTCACTCCTTCCTTTCCCAGCCCCTGAAGGATGACATTTCCTCTGGGCTGTGCCATTTGCCATGCTGACACTGTGTGGCTGTGTATCTGCCACTTCAGTAAAGTTCTGTGGGAGGAAGGAAGCGACCTCTAGTGTTCTCTGCCCAGGTGCCTGCCACATGTCACCAGCACCCTATATTTAGAAACCTTGTGGCACTCAGTTAGTTGCCATCCCTTGTAACAAACATAGCCAAACATTTGCAGCTCTCCCAACAGCCTCAGTGGGGTGGAGATTCCTTGATTTATATATAATCGTGGCTTTAAGCCAGGAAAGACTGTGAGAGGCATGGCTGGCAGGAAGGGAAGGGCACAGCCACAGGGAGCACCGGGGAGTGCACAGAGGGAGGGAAGGCGTGACACTCAGGACTAGGTTTGGGTTTGTGTGCATGTGGAAGTGTGTAGCCATGTGTGCATATGGGTGTGTGCCATGTGTCCATGTGCACGTGCACGTGGGGGCGTGGAGCCTAGAAGGAAGCCATGTTTGCTGGGATAAATTGTACTGATCTTGTACACCGGAACGTTTTCACGCTGTCCAGGCGAGCATCCACGCAGTCATCTACGCAGAGGTCCCTTACACAGCGGTCATCTGCGCAGAGAGCTTCCAGCCAGAGCTCTACCGGGGGGACCACCTGCCGGCTGTGTGCAAAGCGGCTGAGCGCGTCGGAAGAGGATGAGCGTGACAATGAACACAGGTAACCACTCGTGGCCTGGCTGCCGAGGGTCAGCACTCAACTCAGCTGCGGGCTGGGCACCCGGGGCAGAGACGGGCAGGGCGCTAGCCGGGGAGGCTCAGAGCACACAGCCAGGCCTGCTCCAGCACGCGCCAATTCTCCACCACGCTGGCAGCCAGGCCTCAAAATGAGATGACTCCCCAACCCTCTGCAGCCTGGGGGTGCAGCCTCAGTCACCTGGAGGCAGTGGGCGTGGCCTCAGACACGTGGAGGTGGTGGGCGTGGCCTCCGTCACTTGGAGGTGGTGGGCGTGGCCTCGGGCTCCAGCACACTCTGCACTGGGTCAAGGCCTTTGCGGCCACTTGAGGTTGGCAGCTCTCATTTTCCATCCCCATCCTCTGTGGCTGTTGAACAGTGGTGTGCGGTTGTCAATTCCAGCAAGTTTATCCTCCAGACAGCTGTCCCTGTGGACACTGAGCGCTGTGACGGTTCCGTAAGCAGTGACCCTTCCCATTTCAATGGAGTCGGCTCAGCAGGTTGCCTGGTGAGGGAAAGAGATGGATGGACAAGAACGTCAGCTCTAAAATGGTTGCCAGCGTGAAAAACCAGCTGACTTAAAAGTCTGCTCCAGACTTTTAAGAACGAAAGCAGCAGCGACATGTTTATTCCTGCTGTCCCCCACTCCCCAGCCAGTTCTAGAAATTCTTCTCTGTGTCTGCGAAACACTCTGAACCTGAAGGAAAAACGAGGCTGGACAAACGTTTCTTCTCGAAAGTTGCATAAGGGTGGAGCAACCTGTGCAGTGATGCACAGCAGAAGAGATTTAGCTTCTCCTTAAAAATTTGAGTTCTCTTTTAAATGCCCTAGTGACATTGTGCCACGAAAACAGAATTAACTGCAAAGTGAAGACTTGTTTGGTTATAGGATCACTTCAAAGTGTGGACATCACGCTCTCCGGAATTTTAAGCAGGAGTTTGTTTTTAAAAGAGTTCTGCCTATACACAAGTTTGGAGGATGGGCGTCAGAGGCTGGAGCTGTGTCACTCTGTGTCAGACACCGGTGTGACCTTGAACACAACAGGAAGCTTCCTGTCCCTCAGTCTGCCCTCTGGTAGAATAGGGAAAATAAACGTCTGTCAACTTGAATGGTCACACTGGCCACCATAATTCATACAGCTTCAGCAAAAATGACTTTGTGACAGCCTGTTGGAAATCTTCTGTTTGTGGCTGGCAGTAGGCATTCTGACTGCCACACTGGGAGTTGCAATGGCCCGTCCTGTCTTATTGAGCCCCTCAGCCCACCTGAAATGTCAATCCTGTGGCCGGGTGTATGGACGCAGGAGTGCGGTCAGCCAGCCCTGTGCTGACCCACTGACGTGCAGTGAAATGGTGGGCTTCTTCTTGGCCTCACACCGTTTTATTCTCATAACCCAGTGTGTATTTTCCCCGTGACAGGTCTTTTTGGAATTACTGTTCTCTCCTTTGAATGTAGACATGAGTGGAGTGCTTGGGGCGCCTGTGAGTGGCCAGGCGCATTGAGCACTACGAGACTCCCGCTCCCTCCACTCTTACCAGCCTGGAGCGTTATTTACCCATACCGCCCTGCAGACGCTGCTTCAGCATCCCTTACAAATCCGTCTTTTCAGAAGGATGAAATTCTGGGCTCTTCAGTTGGTGTCATTGCCTACGACCTCATGTAAAATAAACACTGAAGAGATGTCACACTCTGAAAACCATCAGCTACCCTTCTGGAAGAGATGGCCATCACAAATGTCTCTCAGATGCCTTTTCTGCTGTCCTAGGGAAAATGGTCCTCCCTGAGCCCTGCCTGTCCTGGGGGCTTGTCACTTACTGATGTGTGGCATGGTTCTGGACAGAGGCTGGAGTCATGCTGGGCTGGTCACAGATAGGCAGGGACATTTTCCTGATATGCTGCTCTGAGGAGGGGGTGGGAGAAGGAACTGCAGCCTGGATGTTTATTCTGAGTCATAAAACGTCAGGGGACAGTGAGGCTGCAGACTGGGGACAAGCCCAGAGTCTTGAGTGTGAAGAGCACATGGGGCTCTCACACAGCTTGGAGACAGGATTGTGTTCCTTTGAGCATCTCTTGACTGTTGGTGGCAGGCGTGGAGATCTGTCTGCCCTGTCCTTGTCACTCGGTGGGACTCACTTCCAACAGAAAATCTTAGGGGACACATTTCTGGGACTCGTCCTACATACCCGGTACTGGTGTGAAGCAAGCAAGCATTTCCTCTCTTGGTTGAGGCTCAGGCACAGGCCACTGTACTGTGTAGATGCTCACGGGTGTGGCTCCCACTTTGCAAGGGAGAACAGCTGTGGCTTGATGTAGAGTTGAGGAGTGGGGTGGCATCCAAGGGAGGGGTCTTTGTCCCATGAGATGGAACTCTGGATGAGAGCACTGTACCTGTTGCAGGCTGAGCATCACCACTGCTGACCTGGGACAATGTTCCCTACAACTCTGGACAGACAAGGTCATGAGGCCCCTCCCCTCCCACAATCTGACTGCAAAGCTTCTTGGTGGCAGAGCCTGATGGTCTCCCAGCTCTGGGTCCTGTACAGTCTTCTTCCCAGGCTGTACCACACAGCTTCCCCAAGTTGCTGGCCTCAGGCTCCAAATGTAGCCCAGGTTTGGAAGCAGCCCTGGACCTGGCAGGGCTGGGGGAGGTGTGAGGTCACAAAGAGGCTTTGGGGCGTCCATCATCTCTGTACTTATAGATCAAAGATGGGAGGCTTATTTTTTTGTGAATTGGGGCTCGAACTCAGGGCCTACACTTTCAGCCACTCCACCAGCCCTTTTTTGTGATTTTGTTTTTCAAGATAAGGTCTCTCAAACTGTTTACCCAGGGCTGGTTTTGAACTGTGATCCTCCTGATCTCTGCCATCTGAGTAGCTAGGATTACAGGAGAGCCACCCAGCTGGGAGTCTCTCCTTCTGTACTTTCACTTTTGTAGGATACAGATGTATTTCTTATCTGTGTCTGTTAAAGGCTTTAATTCACCTCAGATTGTTTGGACATGGCAGCCTCCTGGGAGACAGTGGTGTTTGTATGCTGCCAGGAGGAAACCCACCGGGCTCAGCATTTCCTTAAATTATCAGCGGGCTCAGCATTTCCTTAAATTATCTCATCACTCAGAACTGCAACACAAGCACCCCCAGCCCAGCAGCGCCTAAGAATCAGACCCCCTTTCCCCCAGGTAGCCAAACCCTTTAAACCAAAAAAGGTGATGCGTTTGATCCCCACGCACGCAGCCTCTGCTGAGTGTCTCCTACACGTGCGTCTGGTGCATATAACGGAGAGCTAACCAATCCCTGCTTCCAGGATATTCAGACGAACTTCCTGGGTTCCAGGCCAGCGTTTTGCTGCTTGTGAACTCCAATACCAAGGTATACCTTCTGGCGTGCTCAGTGTGGCCAGACAAGAGTACAGCCTTCATGGCGGCAGCTCCTGACAGTTCTAAAGTGTGGCCACCTACTTCAATAGTGCCTCTCCTGGTGGAGGAATCAGAACCATGAGTGATGGCATTGCTTTACTAATAAGTCACACACGCCCTTTGCAACGTCTGTGCATCATTGGCGCACTCACCAAATACACTCTTGAAAGAGGTAACATAAGTGCAAATAGCCTTTCTTCTGTTATTTTCTTGCACCCCAGGGGCATCCTGGGAGGCCTGCCTGGTCTGTCAGTGCATCTTGACACCTGTCACGCATCTTGAGACTAATGCAGCTTCTCGGCTCCTGCAGGTACCAATCCCATGTGGCTGCTTATGGCGAGGCCAAGAGGCAGCGCTTCCTCAGTGAGCTGGCCCAGCTGGAGGAGAATATTCATCTGGCCCGATCCCAGGCCCGAGACAAGCTGGACAGATACTCCCTGCAGCAGATGGTAGGGGCTCTGTGCTCTCTGAGATGCATGGGTGGAGTGAGGTTTGCCTTGTCACCCACGGTGTGTTAGGTTCCAGTTGCGTGGCTGGTGTACAGGGTGTGAACGATTTCCCAAAGGCAAGAGTTAAAGCAGAGGCAAAGTTTTATTCACTTTCCAAGTGAGGAAAGGGGCCAGACACCACAGGCAGTATCAGCTCTGTGGGGTAATTGGTGTGAGGTTTTAAGGGCTTTTGCGAGGTGGGGTTGTAGGAACATGGAGGGGGAGTGGAGCAGGTGGATATTGGTCCTTTGGCAGATGGTGGAGTGGCATCCTGAGTAGAACAGCACCTCGACTGGGGTGAGGTTTGGCCTGGAGACGTTTTCCAAGTCCCTGGGTACTGTTGCTTCTCAGAATAGAGCAGAGAAGGTACTGCCTGGGTCCGGTGTGAAAAAGATGAGCACGGTTAGGTGAGAGACTACAGAACATGGAGTCACCCATCCTGTGGCAGGCCTTTCCACACCCTGACCGTCCTCACTTCTCTGGGCAGGTGGAGGACAAGCTGGCATGGGAGAGACACTCGTTTGAGGAGCGGATGAGCAGGGCTCCGGAGATCCTGGTGCGGCTGAGGTCCCACACCGTCTGGGAGAAGATGTCTGTGAGGCTCTGCTTCACTGTGCAAGGCTTCCCCACGCCCGTGGTGCAATGGTGAGCGGCTGGGCTCAGGCTCCTTTGCTTGGAGGAAGGTGCTCGAGGAGAGAGAGCAGGCCTGAGCCTGGCTTAGCACTGAGGCCAGAAGCCCATGAGGGGAAATGTGTGTAAAACCCCTATGAAATGTCCATTTAAATGGTATGCTGCCATTTTAATTTTAAGGCTTTTCAGAGTGTTTTGCTTCAAAGTCAGTTCCCTGAAACGACCCTTTTTTTGGAGGCATGGCCCTTGTCCAGGCCAGGGCATCATCGCTGATTCTGAGTGGGAAGTCCATGAGTCTGCTTTAGTTATGCAGGACTCATGCTGGGGGCTGTGAAAATTCGAGGATTAAATCCTTAAGCCCACAGACTGGTCTTGTTTCAAAATCTGGGGCTGGAACCTAGCATCCACCTGGGCCCTGGATTGGGACTCCCAGCTGCAGTTTCAGAACCTGGAAGCTCCATCCAGCTGTGGTTCCAGGAGGCTGGGGGTGCCGGGGAGGCCCATCCTGTGGGCGGCTGCGTTCTGCTATACAGGTAGAGGACAGAACTCCCTCAGCAAGTGTGTTCCAGTTCCCCTGATGGGACAGTCTGGGACCTAGCTAGAGTAGCTATACTTTTTTTTTTTTTTTTAACATGGAATAACTTCTGAAAATCCCAGAAGTTCAAGCAGATGTTTGCAGCACAATCTGCTATAGGTCAAGGATTTCCTGAATGGTGTGAGTCAGAGCCTTGCAGGTTCTCGCCCTACCTTTGTGGTTCTGGGAAGGGGCAGGGAAAAAGACTAGCAAACACTTGAGGGAAATAAGGACACAGGACAAAGCTGTAAAAATAAATCTGCCTTTAACCTAAAATGGATGTTTCCCATAACCAGGTACAAAGATGGCAGTCTGATCTGCCAGGCAGGCGAGCCAGGGAAGTACAGGATTGAGAGCAAGTACGGCGTGCACACGCTGGAGATCAACAGGTGAGCATCCTCGGGTAGCATGTGCCGAGGCCAGGTCCCATAATCAACATCCAAACTCAAAAGAAATCGAAAGCCAAGTGTGGTGACACACACTTGTAATCACAGCGCTTGGGAGTCTGAGGCAGGAGGATTGAGAGTTCAAGGCCAGCTTGGGCTGCACAGCCAGATGTGAAGGCATCTGTAATTTCCAGAGGAGATTGGAAGAATCACATGACGTCACACACGTGTCACACAAGACACTGGTGCACATAGACGTATGTGTACATATACTCATATGCATACATATTTATTCTCCCTGCTTTCACCCGAATGCATGTTGTAATGAAAGTATTTTCTTCTTTTTTAATTAAAAAGCTTTTATATGTTGGGTTTTATTAAGGAAGAATTATTCTGACACTCACTAAGGACAGTAGAGAAGACGTCATTCGAGGGAGAGGGACTGCTGAGGCCAAGCAGGCGCCTTGCAGTGGGGGGGAGTGGGCTCAGCTCCCAGCACAGCTAGGAGCAAGGGTCAGAGCCAGGGAGCAGGTGGAGTTGGGGTGGAAAGTCACTCAGAGGAGACCTTGGGGGAAGGGGTTCTGCCTAAACCAACCTAGGAGGGTTCTTGCTGACCCCAGGGCAGGGGGATCAGATTCCATATGGGGTGGAGGGGGAAGAGGAGCCTGTTCAGTTATGGCGGGGGATCCAGCATGGATGGAGGGTTAGAGCTAAGCTGATCCAGCAGGACTCTTGTTCTTGAGGCCCTGCCCAGGGACAGCCTGGTCAGAGGAGGCCTCGAGGAGCCTGACTCAGCTGAGTTCATAGCTGTCTGTTAGTCTCTGTCTCCAAGGGCCTCGGTTGGGTTTCTCTCCTGCCCCTGGAGCTTCCTCATGTCCCCCTCTGTGTCTCCTTCCCAGCAACGCCTGTTTTCCCACTTGGGCTGGGGCCAAGGCCTGAGCTGGCCTCTTCCTGAGGCCCATCCTTATGGCCTGGAGGTTGTCATATGGTGGTGACATGGCCTTCACTCTGTGGTTGTCACTCCTCTTCTGCAGCAGGGACCCAGCCTCTCCCTCCTGTGACAGGGCTCCTCTGCAGGTAGTCTGGATGGAGCAAGGGTTGAAGGTGGTGCTCAGGTTAAAATCTGAGAGGGGTCATCACCGTCTTTCTCCAGGTAGATTTGAGCCTCTCCAGAAAAGCTCCAGGCCCTGGCCTCTTGGCTGGTTGGCTGCTTCTGCTGTTCACTGAGAACTTCCTGTGCACCAGGTGCCATTACATTCCCCACCATCAAAGCCGAGCTGGCTATCCTTTGACCCAAGACATCACTCCTGCACAGGGTGTAGGTGAATCTCACAGCTGTGAGAGGAGGCTGGGGCCATAGGCTGAAATGGGGCCAGGGCCAACCTTCCTGGGAAGAGTCGTGTGCACAAGGCTTGATGGTGATGGGGTGCTGGGCAGGAGCTGTGAGTATTCAGGCAAAGGAGTCCCTGGCAGGTTCTGAGAGGTGCATGGGCCACTGGGACTGGAGGCTGGGCAGGAGACAACAGTTCAGAGACATGGCCAGGGACTCTGTGAGCCAGGCAAGGGTGCTGGCTTTGCTGGAAGGAGAAGGGCTAATTCCAGAGGCTGAGGAGAGAGGGCCAGTTCTGGCTTTATCTCAAAAGGGTTCCTCTGACATACAATAGGCTGGGGGCACAGATGAACTCTTAGGGAGGGAGCTGGGGGCTGTAGGGGGCTCCAGAGAAGGTGCACTTGGGGATGAGGGTGCCAGCTCTGGGGGGAGCAGCCATGGGGAGAGGTGGGTTCAGCAAAGGGTGGATCTCCTGTCTGGATCTCTAGGAGGGCAGTCACATGTGTGCCTTTGGCTGCCCTCTTCAGACAGTGACTCTCTCCTTCCATATCCAAACTTTGTGGGCGTTCCAATAGGTAATAAACCAGTGTCTGGAAGAGGACATTTGCTTTCACCCAAGGAGTGCAGTGACTTCTGCCATGTTTGCTTTCTGGGCTGAGCACGCTCTGACTGGTGGGGTGGGTAGGTCAGTTTGAGTTAGTGATTAGCCTGCTTCCAAGATGTATTTTAATCATTGTTTTAAGCAGAAAAGTGATTTCCTTTTATCACAAATGAAAAAGACACACTTTGGCAACACTTAAACTGTGCATTGGGCATAAGAAGGCTTTCAGTGCATGCATAGACTATGGCTAGCTTGGTACTGGACCCCAGAAGACCACGGTCAAGATCCTGTGATAGACTTGCTTTGTGCAGAAACATGCAAATATTTGAGAAATTTGGGAAAGTGAAAGTCCCAACACCAACCTCTCTGTCAGTATTCTTATCCCTACCGGGGTGTTTTTAGCAGATGAAACATTAACTTTCTTCAGGAAAAGAGCAAGAGGAGACCCCACAAATTACAGCTCAGCTCAGCTCAGCTCAGCTCAGCTGTTCATTCCAAAGTGCTGAGCTACGTGTCATCTGATCTGAGGTCATTTTCAGGGTGTGGAATTCACTGCCCATCCCTGCACTGGCTTGCGAATGAGCTCTTCCTTGCCTTACAGTGACATTTGCTCCTATGAATAATATTTGGCCAGTGTTGCTGAATTCTCAAAGTGCTGAGGAGCAGGCTCACCCTTTGGTACTATCTGAATTTAAACTTGTGACTGACACTATTTTATATGCTTGTAAGATTTTCTCTTGGGACCCATACTGTGAGTCCCACTTCTTCAAGGAATTTTTATGTTGTTCTCAAATCATTAGGAAGATTTGCAGTGATCTAGCTTGCTTTTCATTAGTAACATGACCACTGACCATTCCTTCCAGAATGTTTTTAGGACTAAACTTTCCTTATATTTTCTTTGTAGCCTTTGATATTTAAGTTTTAATTTGAACTTGAAGCTAAACTATGAGTTCAGTGTCAACGCTGCTTACCATGTGGGTCACTGGAGCTTGGCTGCCCACGAGGAATTCACTTCACCTGTGGTCCGCCTGTCTCTAAGACAGATGAAACAATATAAGTTTCTCACATGAGCTGTGTCAGGGGAGCATCACAGTGAGACTTGGGGAGACAAGAGGGCCCCATGGAAGCTTGAGACCAAAGAAAACTCTCCCTCTGCTTTAGGAACCCATCCAAGCAGAAAATAAAACCCTTGCAAGTTCTTGAAGCATGAAATAAATGCCAGAATTAGACTGTGGGTTTGCTGAATGTTTTCTCTCGTGTAGCCTGGGGAAGAAGTGGGAGAGTGAGTCCTAATGGGACATGGTGCTGGCTTGGGTTAGAGCTCTGTCTCCAAGTCACCTTTGGGGAAAATCTGATATGGGAGAAGTCCCCTGCTCTTCCAGCCCATTCAGCCTCCACACCAGGTGTCCTGCTGCCCACATCTCCAGCTGAGGACAAGTTCTTGTTCTTTTCTCAGTATACATGTCCATATGCTCCTTACAAGCTGTGTGTGTACCTCTGTTCCAGTATATTTTGCATAGGACACCGTATTCACAAGGAATGAGGTAAAGAGGAACAGAAGTTCTAACCTGTTGTCCACCAGCAGGCCAGCTGGAGGCACCCACTGTGGACCCCCACACCAGTCAGTAGGCCTGGATACCCTTGTTACTGGAACAGTAGTGCTGATAAAAACCTGGGTTCTTGTGTCTGGCAGGAGAAGATTTCAAACAAGACGCAAAGATTCAGTGAAAGTAACAGTAAAGTTTATTAGGAAGGGAATACGCTTTCAACAGGCTGAAAGTGGGCTGGCTGTCTCCAGGGTCAGAACAGGTCAGGTTTAAAGTTGGAGTATTTATTGAAGAAGTTGTAGCTTTGGGTTTATTTGCCCTATGGGATGATTGGGTTTGGGTTGCTGTCTTGTTAAGTGAGAGAGATTACCTGTGTAAACTACCAGCCTTGCTCTAATCGAGAGTTTCCTCTGCTCTCTCCAGCTCTTAGACCTGGGTCTTTGTTTTGTTAAATTTACCTGTGTAAACGCCCAGCCCCAGGCCTGGCTGATGTGTAAGATGTGAATTACTCCTGGGTAATGAGAGGTTTAAGCTTTCAGTGAGTGGTTCCCTTCAGAGCATCCTGTGGCAGCCTGGCTACCTGTCCTTGTGGACTTGGGAAGTCGAGTCACAATAATGTCTTTTTTCCTCTTGTAGCTACCACTTATGTCTAGCTGCTGCCTATCACCCTCACTGGCTTCCTTGCAAACGCATGGGACCTGTGGGTCCTGGCTCTGGGTAATTGCTTCTCAGGACCCGGTGCCTTTGTACTCGGCCTGTGGAAGGTGGAGCTCTGCACTGCGCTCCAGGTCTGGACCATGCTAATGGGTTAATTGACCAGCGGGTCAGTGCTAATGTGATAGGTGGCACTGCTCCATGTTCAAGGCCCAGATGGAGCTGGAGCCTGTGGAGAGGTTGCATGGGCAGCTGCCCTGCTCTGCTGCTGGCATCCTTCTCGCAGGCGCAGACTCTGATCTCCACCTCGTCCATCCTGTGACAAATTTGTCCTTTGCCTGCACCCTTGACCAGCTCCTCCCTGCTCCGGAGCAGAACAGCCCTCAGTGCTGGCCTCAGAGGAAACCCCGGCTGTTCTGCAGGAATGTGAGGCAGGGAGGCCTTGTGCAGGAGACAGAAGAGAGAATAGCTTTGAAGGTCTGGTCCAGAAGTTCAGCTAATGGGTTTTTTGGTGTTATTGTTATAGGAAAGTTTAGCTCTGGTGAAAACCTCAGTTCCTGTCCAGAGAAGAATTCAGGCAAGATATGGAATAGGGAAAGTGACAGTAAAGTTAACTAGGAAAGAACATCAGTGCATTCGGAGCTGGACTGGTCACTGAGGAATTCTCAGGCCCAGGTCCATTTGGCCCTTGGGAGGGGCTCCTGGGCCTGGATCTTTGTCTGGTTAACTTACACTCCCAGCCCCAGGCCCAGCTGATGTTTAGGGGGTGGCTTATTCTTGAGTAAAGAAAGGATGAAGCTTTAGGTGACTGGCTGACCCAGGGTACTTCAGTCTTAGCAGAGACTGGTCACCTGTGGATTTGAGGGTTTCATTACAAATGATTTTCTTCCTCTTGTGGCCACTGCTTGTGTCTGGTACCTATCAGTACTGGGGTCTGAACTCCAGGCCTTGGGAGCCATGTTTCCAACTGTTTGCTTTAGAATACTTTTTAGATAGGGTCTTTCTTTTTTTTAGATTGGCCCAGTGCTGGTTTTAGACAGAGATCCTTCTACACATGCCTCCTGAGCAGCTGAGCAAGCCCAGCTTGCTCGAGATATTTGTGGCTGACTTTTTGCTGAGGCCATCCTTGAACTGTGATCTTCCTGTTTCCATCTCCCAAGTAGCTGGGATTACAGATGTGAGCTACCACACCCAGCCCCTCAGCTACTCCATTTTAATTGACAATACATGCTATTAGTATAGCATTATAAAACTGCAACAGGTTTCCAATCAATGTCGCCCATTGTAAAGTCTCAGTAAATGTACTTCAGGAGTTTAAAATGTGCATGATTTATTTATTATAAAGTCATCAGATAAGGGCCATCATTCTGACCTAAGATAGCACAGATTTGAAGCAAGAACTCGGGGCTAACGGCTGTGTGTGTGTAACAGTCACAGAATCCTTGTGCATTTTATTCTGATACCCAAGATTAAAAAAAAAAATTCCAGTTCACTAGAGAGTAGTTGCAGATGGAAATAAGTTTTGCTTTGAAATCTTGGGACATTATTCAATTAAACCCAGGCAGTAGATGCTTTGCCTGAGGCCCAAGCATAAACAAATGAAGTTCCAAAATTCCTGTTACTGAGCTGAAGTGTAAGGAGTAGAAAATGCACCTGAGTACTGGCTTTTAGGTCTGTTTTAAACGTTGCTAAAGTGCATATTGAAGAGGAAATTTGCATTGCATTGAGGAGTTTGAACCTTGAAAACTCAGGAACACAGTTTGGAAACCATTATGCTAAATACCCAGAAGGATTTCTGGGCGGTTGGAGGTGAGGTTTGTGGCAGCTGCAGGTCACACTGGGCCAGCTGTGTGCTGTTGCCTGGGGTCTCACAGGCTAGGTATACATCTCTTCCTCACTCAGCCCATGGACAAGGGTGACTGGCTGGGCCAAGACTGGCCTTCATCCTGGGGCCGGACACTTTCTTAGAATGCTGCCCCAGGCTGAGCCTGTGTGGCCGTGCAGTCCCTGGATGGGTCCAGGTCAGCAGGTTTCCATCACCCCTGCTTCCCCCATCCTCACAGAATGCTGTCTTCCCAGTGTGCCCTGGCTTTGCAATACTTGAGCCTCGCCTTTGGGTTGCTGGCCAAGCATTTTCTCATCTGCAGGGCATGGGCAGGGTTGTTGTAGAGCAAGGCTTAGGGCTAATCCCAGAAGAATATCTTTCTGTTTGGAGAATGTATGTAGGAAAATATAATGGTGTCCTTGTTCAGAAGAAGTAACACAGACACGGAGTAAACACAGCAAGCAGTGCCCACAGGCACCACAGGGAAGTCACCCCCTCCCCTCCCCAGCCCAGGTGTGCTCTGCGCGCTACTCCAGGTAGGTCACAGCGGTGCTGACGCTTGGCACATCCACACGGTGGGACGTTTAAAACGTGTTCTACACGCATGTTACCTTGCCCCTGGGGCTGTGGCTGTACCTGCTGTGTGATTGGAAATTGCACGGCAGAGTGGGTCCTAAGGAGCTCAGGTCACTGTGGATTTGCCACTGGGCTCTGCAGTCGGTCGAGCGTGTGTTCCTTTGAGGTGAACTGGACATGCCGCACTTGGGCAGCCATGCTGTGCGGTCCCCGCCGTGAGTCATGGTGTTTAAGGGAGGCCAGGCTGGCTCGGAGGAACTCCTGGGGGAAAGGACGGATCCCAGTTGGTAGCATGGGTCTCTGAAACCTCTCTCCCCCTTACTGGGGACACTGAATATTTTCAGTTCCTAGAAAATAAAAGTACCAATGACTTCCAGCAGTGGGTCTTCCTGGGAACATTGGCTTCTTAATGAATTTTAAGGTAATTTTCATAATGAATTTAAGAATGAATTAAGTAAAATTCTTTATTGAATTTTCTTTCTGAAAAGTGAGATTTTTTTCAGCGTTATTTCTTTTCCCCCAGTGGGATCTCGCACAGGGTCCACCTCTTGGAGAGAAACCAGCAGCAAGAATGCAAATTGTGCAGATGTGTGGACCTTGTTTTCCCAACTTCTCAAAGTGTTAGCTTCTCACATGTTAATAGGACCGTGAAGTCTGTTTTCCAGGGCTTGTGACAGCATCATGGAAGGATAATAGTATTCTGTGCTGCAGTGAGCAAGTCCCAGTCAGCAGCAGCACCTGCTGCTCACTTCCCTCTGGGGAAGCTGAAGGAAGGCAGTGCACAGCTGCACCCTTGTGGTGCACAGCCGCCTGGTACACACCGACGTGGTGCAGTCACGTGGTACAGTCACATAGTACATGGTCACGTGGTGCAGAGCCACCTGGTACACAGGCATGTGGTACACAGTCATGGTGTGTACAGCCACATGGTACAAGTCACATGCACAGTCACATGGTACACAGTCACGTGGTACACGGTCACGTGGTGCACAACCATGGAAAGCAGCTCTGTCTCTGGCAGGGCAGATGTGGGGCAGCGGGAGCTCTGCACCTGAGGGGTGGGGTCTGACATTTTGGTCAAGGTCTTCCCAGGCGTGCAGTGATGTCACGGGAGGGTCCAGCCCAGGCATTTCATACCTGGGCATGTGTGTTTGGGGTTCTGGACTTAATCTCCCCTTGCCAGTGGACACATGATTCCTGGTGGAAGTGAGGCAGGTTATAGAATCTCGTCTCCTGTCTAACAGGGCGTTGCTCACTTCTGGAAGTTAATGGCACTCTGCCCATACCTTAGAACCTCTGCCTTGTGCAACACACAGCTCTGGTTCCTGTCTGTGGTGTGACGAGCTCTCAGCCACCTTCTCAAGTTATCATGTTCAGGGTGAGGACCATGACAGGCACTGTCTACCAGCGTGGGACCAAGTGTGGCTCCTGGGTCACTGTGAACCAGCTCTCTCTCAGCTCCCAGGCAGGTGCACAGGGGCCGCACCGACCCAAGGCTCTGCTTTCTTGCACAGTAAATTCCTTGCTCCTGAATCAGGTAGCTCAGAGTGATTCTGCTAGGGTTGGAGGTCACAGAAACCTCCCATTGACAAGATAAGACCACGATTCTGCAGGAGTAGAAAAACAGGACCGGAGTGGAACAGAGGCTTCTTGGGAATAAGATGAAGGATTTTCTAAAGTGTTCACACCTGTTCTCTCTCAAGGTCAAAGCCAAGGGTGCTCAGGGCTCAGATGCTCATCTGCGTCTATAATTAATACAACACTGTGTGCCTCTTGCTGTTCCAAGATAGAGCAAATCACTCACAACAAACGATCCAGGTCATCACATGACTTGCTTTCGAGGAGTGCTTTTGTTCAAGTTCAGGTCATCCTCTGCCAGAGCAGTCCTACACACTTGCCTTTTCTCTCCAAGGGCCAACTTTGATGACACAGCCACCTACTCGGCAGTGGCCACCAACTGTCATGGACAAGTATCAACCAATGCCGCGGTGGTGGTGAGAAGTGCGTGCTGCTTTTGGGGAGGGAGCCCGGGTCGCGCCTGTCGGGGGAGGGAGCCCGTGGTCTCTCTTGGTTACATTCACCCAACTATCCCCGCAGGGTTCCGAGGAGATGAAGAGCCATTCCACTCCGTGGGACTCCCAATCGGTTGTAAGTAGATTTGGATGTCTTTTGTCCAGAAAGATGTTTAGTGTCATAGTACACAATTTAAAAATATTTTTAATATCAGTCCTGGGGATTGAACTCGGGGCCTCACCTTTGCTAGACAAGTGCTCTACCACTTGAGCTACACCCCGGTCCTTTTGCTTTTGTTTTTGCTTTTGAGATATGGTCTCACTAACTTTGCCCAGGTTGGCCTCAAGCTCAGAACCCTCCTATCTCTGCCTCCTGAGCAGCTGGCGTAACAGGAATATCTAGCTCAAGTATTAAAAAAAAATTACATTTCAAAAGCCTCTTCCAGGTTTTCCTGGCCAGTGTTTCTGTGTGACAGTTTCCTCCCCTGTCATTCTGTGGGAAGCTGGTGATTTTAAACGGTGGTAAAACCATCACTTGGAGACTTTTCAGTTCTGAATTGGAAAAAGAAATCAATCCAGATTCTTGACCTGAGTGCATGATGGTGCCACATTTTGTGCTAAGGATGCCCTCTTTCCCTGGATGTCGCTCCATCTTTTGTAAGGTGCAGCCACCTCAGGTCCAGGGAGGCGGGCACGAAGTCTTCTCGGCTCTGTTCCGCCCTGCAGGTCTGACGCACTTTTTTCTTATGTGTGGGATGCATCCTGTAGTGCATGTCTCTGCACCCACTCTCTGTTAATGCCCCCCCAAACACATGTCCCCCAAGTGCAGGAGCCATCTGTCACCACCCAGTCTCCTTTGTCACAGTGGCCTGCATTGGCTCTGTGATGAGGTACAAAATTAACCCATTTGAAGCACACAGGTCAACAGGGCTTGAGCTGATTTTTAAGAATCGTAGGTGTCGCCGTCTTGAAGTTTGTATCTCGTTTTGAACTTTCCTTTCAAGCACATATTTATAAATCATAGGTTTTTTTTTTTTTTTTTGGTTTAACATATTTACAATTGCCAGGCATGATAGTACGTGCTTGTAATCCTAGTCCTCTGGAGGTGGGGGCAGGAGGACCATGAGTTCGAGGTCAGGTTGAGTCTCAGTCTCAAAAAACTAAGGGCTGAGGTGGAGCTCAGTAGCAGAGCACTTGCCCAGAATGTGCAAGGTCCTGGGTTCGATGTCCAGCACTGGAATTACTGTTGATTTTCTTCTGATACAAATGTACCCCACCCCCCCCAGCAGCATACACACTTGAGGTTTACTCTGTCATCCTCTGGATCTAGTTCATTCATTTGGTGCTGATTGACATTCTGGCAGTGAAAATGCCACAGGGTATCTGATGGTGAAAAAGCCATGATTGTTTCAACATCCATCCTGTGTGCCAAGGTGGGAGGTGCTCCTGCAGTGAGCTCGTGGCTCTTGTCCACTGTGGCCCCTGCGTGGCCATGCCTTTAGCGACAAGACAGACTCTGAGGCTGTGTATACACCACAGGCTGGGGGACTAACGGAGACCCTCACTCCTCAGGCTCTGGGGGCTGCAAGTCTGATTCCTGTGCTGCCAGGTGGGCTCTGGGGAGGCTGGCCACCTCCTGGTTTTTGGTCCATGCCTCTCGCTGTGTCCTCCTCTTCTCATAAGGACACTATCCCACCATGGGCTCATCTAACCCTAATCACCTCCTGACACCACTGGGGGTTCAGATCCAGGACATCAGCATGGGGGACACAGACCCTCAGGCACAGCACGCTCCTTTGAGGAAGCAAGTGTCCTATGTCCCAGCCTAACTGTGTCTGCTGCCCTCTCCGCAGTGCCCCTGTCCTCTGTGATTCCATACACGCACTTCGAGGTTCAGTTTTTGGAGAAATTCGGGGTCACCTTCAGAAGAGAAGGGGAGACACTCACGCTCAAGTGCACGCTGCTGGTGACACCAGACCTGAAGAGGGTGCAGCCTCGGGCTGAGTGGTACCGTGATGGTGAGTGCCGTGGCTCCCAAGCCTGGGGATGCCAGTGACGTGGTGCCCCCAGCACTGCCACCTGCGAATCCTTGGGCAGGAGCGATCTTTTAACATTGGAGCTCATTTGGCCTTTACCTCTACCAGCATGTTAGCTGTAGGCAGTGAAGCAAACCCAGGGGTTGGGGAGACCTTGAACCTGACACTGACCTAGAACTTCACCCTGGAAAATCCTGGAGGATTCAGGGACACTGAATCCAGGTGAGCCCTCAGAGATACTCATAGCTCCAAGGAAGGTCTCAGCTGGATTAGCAAGAGTGAATGCTCATGTTTCCATCACTGAAACAGCAACTGACTTTCACTAGACTTTGTTGTGAGCCTCATGCGATCTGAGTGTGATAATTCGCTTAATCTCCCTATGCTGGGTGTGGGGTGCACTCCACTGACAGGGGAGGAGGCAGAGTCAAGCAGGAGGTCAGCTGAGCTGGGGTCTTCCCCAGTGCCTTGGCTGCTGTCGGCCTCACAGTCAGCCCATGTGTGTGTGAGGGAGCTCACTCCTCCTCCTCTTCTCCGGGCTGATGCTTCAGAAGGGAACTTTTCCTGTGGGTTAAGTCACACTGTCTATTTTGCCTGTTTGTCTGTCCAGAGCTTGATGTGGTGCTGAGACTTATAAAGAAACAGGTATATTTCTGCTCACAAGAGGTTTGCAGCCTAGTTCAGGAAAATCCGCAATATTGGCAATGTGTGTGTATACACACACACACACACACACACACTCACACATTTTGGTAGCACTGGGGTTTGAACTCAGGGCCTCACCCTTACTTGGTAAGTGCTCTACCACTTGAGCTACTCTACAAGCCTTAAATATGCAATATTGGAAAGCAATGTTTTTTTTAAAGCACGTGAAGTGCACTGTAAAGCAGGTTGTGATGATTTGCCAAGTGTGGCTCTGGCTGTATATCAGCTGAAGTTGAGCCAAAGGTGTTTTGGAGGGACGGGAGAACTTCCTGAAAAAGATAAGGTTATTGACAGATGGTGCAGAGGAAGAGTTCCTGGGTGCTGAGCTGAGGCAGAAGTGATGACATGCTCCAGACAGAGGTTACACGTCTGACCTCATGCACAAGACCGGGAGAGAACTGTTAGGTTTGTGAGGGCGTTGTGACCTGTGAGCTTCTGTTTGACCAAGGGAAGGCCAAGGCCAATGCTGTCTGAGGCAGGAACAGAAGGAGAGAGAAAATCTCTCTCTAGAAAGCTAGAGAGAGTGAGAGACAGAGAAAGAAAGAAAGAGAGACACACATACAGAGATAGAGACAGAGAACAGAGACACACAGAGAAAGACATGGAGAAGGAGAGACATGGAGAGAGGTTGCAGGAGGTCAAGGTGGAGAGGTTTCATCGTGGGGTCATTGCCATGGAAAGCGGGGCAGGGTGGGGGGAACTCTGATGAGGCCACCCAGGCTGTGTGGAGTAGGACTGAGTGTGCTCCGGGAATAATCTCAATATGACATTGCAAATTTGGTGCCCAGAGCCTGACATCAGTGTGTTATCCATCCATGTCAAGGATAAAAAAATGATAGAAAGGACCATCTTATGCTAATTCGAATTAACTCAATGCACATGGTTACACAGAGGGCTCTGAGTTACTTAATTCCAACACAGCAAACTGTGCTTATGCTAGTATTGCTGTTCTCTTTTGTTCTGTTTTTAGCAGTGTTCCAAGGGCTTGCACTGCATTGTTTGGGAACGCAATGTAGCTGTGAGACGCATGTCACTGTGGCCCCCACCTCAGGCCTGCTGGACAGAGAACTCACTGAACCCTCAGAGTTTCTGGGTCCTCACCTGTTTCACCCAGAGAAAACTAAGCTGGCATCTGACCTATGGGACCCAATGACAGAGCGCACTCAACCAGTTAGAATGAGGGAGCCTCTCCCTCAGTCTGCACTATCTGCTTATCACCCCCACAAATCCCTTTTTGATTATGTTTTGCACTACGTTGGGTTACATTGTATTACATTGTATCTTATTGCACTTACCTTGAATGGCTGCTGTGCAAACTCCTCATTTAGCACAGTTTATTGTCCTTTGATCCCATTAGCTATGCAGGAAGATAAAGTGGATGAAACAGCTTAAAATATTTATTTTTATTACCCCTTTGCCATGCTGCTCACAGAGGCTTTGGCCTCGTAACTGCTTCGATACACTGTGGGCCACAGCGTCCCCAAGTAACGTTCATGTCTGGTGTATACCAAGGCTTGAAGATGAAGTTGTAAAGATAGCTCTTTCTTTCTTATACCAAGTGCAATATCTTTGTGTCCCCCAAATTATAATGTCTCCAACTACAAAGTCACGGTGATCAACTTGCTATAAGATATGTATATTGTCCACATGTGTACATTAAAATGGGGAGCATACTTCTGACAGAAATCTCATTTTCACGCATGTTTCTGGGACTGCTATTCTGTGGCACCAGAATAGCAGAATAGCAGAATGTTCGTGATTGGAACATTTGGTCTGTATGTTTTCTGTTATAAATGTTTCTGAAATAAATCCTCACCATGTACCTTTGCTTATTACCTAGGGACAGATTCTTGGGTCTGTGGTGTCCAAACTGCATTCAGCACTTCAGGGCTATGATGTATGTCCACTCCCTTCCTCCGCCACAGGGGGAAAGGTGTCTTTCTGCTCTTTTCAATGGTGGATATTATTCTTTTTTCCCCCCATATTTGTCAAATTTAGCAGAAAAATAATGTATTATTTAATGTCCTGTTGGGTATTTTTATTTGTTTGAGTTCGAACTCAGGACCTTGAACTTGCTAGGCAGGTGCTCTACCACTCAAGCCACATTCCCAGCCCCTTTTTTCAGTTATTTTTTCAAATAGGGTCTTGCTGTCTATATGATCCTCCTATTTATGCTACCCACATAGCTGGAATTACAGATGTGACCCACCACACCTGGATATTGATTGAGATGGGGGTCTCAATAACTTTTGCCAGGGCTCGCCAGGGCTCGCTTGGACCAGGATCTTACTATTTATGCTTCCTGGTGGCTGGGATGGCAGGCATGAGCCAGTGGCGCCCAGCCTAAGCATTGTTTTCACAAGCTTTTTTTATTTGTTTGAGTTCGAAACTCAGGACCTTGAACTTGCTAGGCAGGTGCTCTACCACTCAAGCCACATTCCCAGCCCCTTTTTTCAGTTATTTTTTCAAATAGGGTCTTGCTGTCTATATGATCCTCCTATTTATGCTACCACATAGCTGGAATTACAGATGTGACCCACCACACTGGATATTGATTGAGATGGGGGTCTCAATAACTTTTGCCAGGGCTCGCTTGGACCAGGTCTTACTATTTAGCTTCCTGGTGGCTGGGATGGCAGGCATGAGCCAGTGGCGCCCAGCCTAAGCATTGTTTTCACAAGCTTATTCATCATTTGCATGTCTTCCTTTACGAGTTGTCTTTCAATGTCTTGCTTTTGATCCATCAATGTTGGAATTTTATTGTTAATTTCTCAGACTCAGTGGTGGGGACCTTCCCGAGGCAGCCTCTGGGGTGAGCATTTTCTGTCCCAAGCAGTGTCCAGGTGGGAGCTCTTGGAGTCCTGGTAGGGTAGCAGAGGACAGGGCTTGGGGCAGCTTTGTGTTGTGAAGGAGTGAGTGGACAGGATGGTGAACGGGCAGAGCTAGGGCCCTGTCTCTGGGCTCCTCCATGGTGCTGGGTTCTGGGCTGAAAGTCTTTTCCTCTTTGGTGCTTCGTTTGTGTGTGAGTTTTGCATGAAGTAGCTTCAGACTTTATGAAGCTGAGGCTGCATTCCTTGAGGTCTGGCTGGGTCCTGTCCTCTGGGTGCTGGCTCCCATGTCCACATAGACTTATTTGAGCCCTTGGATGACTTTCTGAAGCAAACCTTGAATTGTGTTGCTCTTTCAGATGTGTTGGTGAAAGAGTCAAAGTGGACAAAGATGTTCTTCGGAGAAGGTCAGGCCTCACTGTCCTTCAGCCACCTGAACAAGGACGATGAGGGTCTGTACACATTGAGGATCGTGTCGCGGGGAGGCGTCAGCGATCACAGTGCTTTCCTGTTTGTCAGAGGTGCGCTGGGGGGTGTGGGCTGAGTATGCATTGTGGGGAGGACTGGCTGAGGTGGACAGGAGTCCTGCTCATTGTAAGTCTCTCTGAGAGGAATCGGGTCTTCCCAGAGCTCTGTAGTCAGACAGCGAGCAGGTGATCAGTGTAGATCAGAAGTGTGGCCTCTGTGTCCCTAGCACTTGTCCCATTGCTGGAACTTATGAATGGAGCCTAAGAGCGAGTGTGCCCCATGTTCACTCTGGACACAGCTGATCAGCCTCTGATTGAGACTTCAGCTGCTTTCACCACTGCTAACTGTCAAAATACAGCAGGTGGTAGTTACCCAGTGTCCTGGGTCAGGAAGCTCCATGTCCTGATTCTGTCCTTGCCATGGGCTCAGGGAGCGGTGCTCTGAATCCCAGTGTGTGAAAGGAAAAGTTCATTGTGCACCAGGCACAGTACCAGGCATTATGCACATATACTTTGAGCCAGCACATGCAGAAGCACCTGCCATTTGTGTGTACATACATGTGCATGGGTGTGTGCATACATACACATCCATGGGCGATCTGAAATTCTCATAGTGACTGTGTAAGAAACTACTACCATTCTCAGTGTTTCATGCAAAGACAGGGAGGCTCAGAGGCCTGACCTTGTCTCCAAGGTGGTGGAGCCGGGACTTAATTTCTGTTGGCGTCACAGCCTGACAGGTCCCTTTGTGGAGCCACGTGCATTGAGCTGGAAAAGGTCTGTCTCCTTTCTCAGCATCCACCAGCCCTCCCTACACTGCCCTCCGGGCAGCACCTTCCTGGGGCTCAGCTGGCCTTACTGCAGAGACACAAGGGCCCACTTGTGGCTGGCTGGCTGTTGTCCCTCATCCTCACGAGGTCCTCTTGGGGTGCCCTGTTGTCTGTCCTGAGTGGCTGCTCTGTTCTTACCCGGGCTCCAGAGTTCTGTCCATTGTCCACTGCCTGCAGCTCTGGGCGAGAGTGACGTAGGAATGCAATCAGTTGGGGACTTTTTTCACCATAGCAGTAGTTAGAGCAGAGAGAGCTTAGAGGAAGGGCTCTCTCATTAGATAACAAAAATGCACGTCTGACCTTTGCACATCTTGCCTGATCGCACAAGGTTGCCAGTCTGTGATTTTAGACCCCTCCACAGAGCTGGGCAGTTTTTATTAGGTCATCATTCAAATGCACCTTCCATTTTCTTGTGTGCCTCTGGCATATAAGAAATGTTTTGCCCCATAAAAATGCAATCTTCACAACTGTCTTAAATTGCCGTGCTTACTCAGCACACAGCAGGAAGAAAATAATGTACAAACCAGGGAGCTTAACCATTCTGATTACTTTCTGAAGATTTTGAATGTCAGAGAAACTATCTGGCCCAATGTCAAGAACACCTTGCTGAGAAGAAGAACAAGATACCCTGTAACGCTTACCCAGCTGTGGTTCTGACAGCCATGGCTACTGAGTGAATCTGCATTTTAGACAAGGAAATTAAAGGTCCAGTGTGTTAACTTTCTGAATGGCTCTTCTGGACTTCAGTGTAACTGTAATTAAGATCTGAAAACAAACCCGATTGTGTTATGATCTTATGATCTTAAGCCATCTGTGAAATGAATGGATAGTTTGACACAAACATTTAACCACACGTTTTAGAAAAAGAATTAAATCCTCTGTGGTCTAAAGATTTTGAAATATGCAAGTGTCTAAGGTGATACTTCTCAGGTGTTAAAAGGACCGAGTCTGACTGTGTATCATGATGTGACCACATGGGACTAAGAGGTGAACTTTAATTTTAGATCCAATTATGAAAAATCAGACTTGAGCATTTTTTAGATGATGAAATGTTCTCTGTTTTTAAAACATGTATAAATGTCTTTAAATTTCTTGACACCAACCCACCAGAGTAAAAAAGTATCCAAGTAATTTGAACACGAGGGGTCACAGGGGCTCAAACCGAGCAGGGGGCATCTGAGTTTGGAGGGCTGTGGACAGCCTTTGCAGTGACCCCACACTGTTTGTGACGGGCACATGTGTCTCCCAGATGCTGACCCACTGGTCACAGGGGCTCCCGGGGCACCCATGGACCTGAAGTGCTACGATGCCAACCGGGACTATGTCATCGTGACCTGGAAGCCACCCAATACGACAACTGAGAGCCCTGTCATTGGGTACTTCATCGATCGGTGAGTGCGTGGGCACTCGTCCAGGGGTGGGAACACTGCTTGAGCAAATGCTTTAGTGGGACACACGTTTGCACATATTTATTAACATAAGTTGACATTGCCACCTCGACTGGCTCTAGTGATCACTGCTGTTTGGTTATTCAATGCTGTTCACTAGGTAATCGGTAAATATTGCTCAATAGGCAGAGCCCAGGGTAACCCCACCGGTTTCTTTTTGTTGAAATTGAAGGTGCTTTGGCCTGTGGCAACCCAGTATCAGTGCACCTTGGGTCTCCATGCAGGCTCTGAACCTAGTGGCCTGTGCTGTTGAGGGCCAGGACCATGGCCCCAGCAGGACTGGCTTAGGAGTAGCAGGGTGGGTGCTCAGCTACCTCCTCTCCATAGAAGACCACCAGCTCAGTTCACTACAGTTCTGTCCTCTTTTTTATTAAGAAGGTGTCTTCTGCTGGGCACCAATGGCTCACACCTGTAATCCTAGCTACTTGGGAGGCAAAGATCAGGAGCATTGAGGTTCAAAGCCAGCTGGGACAAGTAGTTCATGAGACCCCCATCTTGAAAAAACCCAACACAAAAAAGGGTTGGTGGAGTGGCTCAAGTGGGTAAAAACACCTGCCTAGGATGTGTGAGGTCCTGAGTTCAACCCCAGTGCCTCAAAAGAAAAAAAAGTGTATTTTGTTTCTAATGTAAAGAATTGGTGCTCCAAAGCACAAAGTGTTGGAATTAAATTTAGATCAAACCCAATTTATTTAATCTCTTTGATTTTCCTTTATTGGCATAACTCTCAGAGCCTGGGAAGGATGTTGAGTGGAGCCAGGAATTTATTAGATGTGGAATTTATGCTTCAAATGTAAATTTTAATCATCGGAAGAAATTGTAGTCAAAGAACGTGAGTTTGGAAGTGAGATAGGTACAAGTCACTGGGCTATAAGGGAGGGTTCCTGGTAGGAATTTAAGATTGTTTTACTGTATTACACAGTAAAATAAGGTGCCCCTTTCAGAAAAAAATGGCAGGATTTTTGTTTTTGGCTTAGGCAGATGAAATTCTCTTCTTTACTAACAAAACTGCTGGTTTAGCTAAATTATTCACCATTGAGATGATATTTGGAGGTGTTAGGGACACATCTGCAGAGCGAATTAAAAAGCAAATCAACCAGCCAAAAACTATTTTCCATTCTCAAGGGGCATCTGATGACTTTCCAGCCATGTTGTCCAAATGATTTCACACCCCATCAGCTAAAAGTCCACACTGCTTCCCTCTCATACAAACACTGAAGCAGCAGAACATCCTAGAACGTGGGGTACTTCCCCTTCTGGCCTTGACCCTTCCGTGAGCGCTGCCAGTTTTTGATCTGAGTCGAGTCCCTGGGTTCTGATTAATGGGGGACAGGCTTGGTCCACCAGAGAAATTTGATCAAGAATTGTGGATCTTGGCGGGGGGTGTTAGTTCTCTTTAACACGATCACATAACTCTGAGGCTGTAGTGCTCTGCTCAAAGTCACTAATTTTCTGACCTTGCTGTTTTCTTCTGGGGGATTTAATGTGAAGGTTTTGTACTTACCTGTGAAAAACCCAGGTTAATCTTGTCCCTGCATTTCCAGGTTTCTGGTCAGGACTTAATATCTTCAAAAGACCTCCCAATTCCACATGAGAAATGCTCTTTTGTTCAGTAGACTGAGCCAGCATCCTAGTGAGAATTCATCCCCGGCTCAGTTCTAGTGAGATGTGCACTGGGCCCTGAGGGAAGGTGGTTTGTGCCCTAAGCACCAGGAGAACCTGGAGTGAAGAGCACTGGTGACTTTGCTACCTACGTGGGAAACAGAACTGTCAAAGATAGATGTGAAATAACCTTCTGGGGAGATTTTGACTAAATATATTTGATGGCATGAACTCGCTCACGCTAGGAATTCTGTCTGTGTATCTATCTATGTATGTATCTACCTACTTACCTACCTACCCACCCACCTACCTGTCTACCATTCATCCATCCATTCATCCATTATTTGTCTATCTATCCATCTATCCATTATTTATCTGTCCATCTATCCATCCATTATCTATCTTCTATATTATCTGCTATCTATCTATCTGTCTATCTATCTCTACAAGTGGATATCTACCTATATACAGATAGATATTAAATTTTCTGAGTAGCTCTTTCTTTTGAAGTTTGTTATATTACTATTTATATGTCAATATTTTTACAGCGTGGATTTTGTCAATGTGAGACATTTCTCTGTGAAAAATCGATGTATGTGGCTACACCTGTAAATCCTTTTTTTCTCTCTTTTTTGTCTGAAGATGTGAAGTGGGAACCAACAATTGGGTTCAGTGCAATGACGCCCCTGTGAAGATCTGCAAATACCCTGTGACGGGACTTTTTGAAGGAAGGTCTTACGTGTTCCGTGTGAGGGCGGTCAACAACTCAGGCATTAGCCGGCCTTCCAGGGTTTCTGACACGGTGGCTGCCCTTGACCCTGCTGACCTCAAAAGGTTACAAGGTAGGCCATTGGCCTTCAGGTTTCAGCAGTGGGAACCTGTGGGCCATTTGTGTGTGTCTCATTCTTTGTTGTTGCTGTTTTCATGGTCAGTTTAAAAACTTATTTATAAACTTATTGATTTATTTATATGGTACTGGGGGTGCATGGTGACATTTACAAAAGTGCTTACACTGTATCTTAGTTACAGTCACCCCTCCCTCTTTCTCCTTTATTCCTCCTCCCCTCTTCTTAGAGCAGTCTTGACAAGTCTCATTGCTCCATTTTCATACATGTGTACACAGTACTTCTACCATACATGCCTTCCTGCACCCTTTCCTATGCCTCCCCCATCCCACTGATACCAACCCCTAGACAGGACTTGTTTTACCTCCCTGCCCTACATTTTTGAAAAAAGACATTTTATTTATTTATGATGGTTACACAGGGAGTGTCCTTGTGACATTTCCATGTACATATGTTATACCTAAATTGGTTCCTCCCCCGTTATTCTCCTTTCTACCTTAGTCCCCTTCTTACGGTGAGTTCAGCAGGTCTGAGGGCTCCCTGTTCATACTTGTATAGAATTCCATCAGCTATATTCACCGTCTTTCCTCTGCTCAGGTACCTCCCACATTAGTGCTCTCTGTTGCCCCACTGCGTGTGAGCCTCAAGAACGCCGTTGAGTGCCGAACACAGCTGCCAGGCTCTATTTTCCTGTTCTCTGATGTCTCCACCAATGTGTCTTTAGGATGGGGATGGCCATCTGACACCTGTGCTTAACAGATAATGTAAAAGCAGTTAAATTGGCTCAGAAGGGACCTTTCAGTTCTTGATGACACAATTTCAACACCTAAGGGGACTTAGAAGGCTTTGAAATCAAAGCTGCTGTATGTCTGAGTTTTAATCTTACACAATGACAATTCTTTAATGGGATTGGCCCTTTGTCATGGCTGTAAGTGAGTCACGACATTTTCCTTACCTCTGCAGTCCTTTCAATCCACTACAAAGAACTGCAAATTGCTAACTATTGCCGGGGGCTCTTCTAAACTTTCAACTGTGATTACTGCAGAGTCCTCATCAGCTCAGACCTTGCCCTGGATTAGGGAAAAACTTGCTTCCTTAGGGAACCTTGGGTGTCAAATTCAGTGTCACCTTTTCTCTCTGCAGGAATTCATTTGGAGGGAGAGAAGGAAATCATCATGTACCAGGATGACCTTGAAGGTGAGGATCTCTTGCACTTCTGCGGCTGCGGGCACTCCACGGGTTGAGGGTGGTGGCTAAGAGACAGGAGCTGGGTGAAAGAACACACATTGGACACACTCTATGTGTGAAAATGTAAAATAAAATTCCAGCCTGCACGCTCAGTGACTGTGAAAGTTAAGGAAAGTTAGCAAGGGGAAAGGATGAAGATTAAGTCATGGACTCCACTATTTCTGCGAGGATTCACACATGCAAACCAAACCAAAGCTGAGGCTGGTTACTTGCTGGTGCTGGATTCTTTCTCAGAGTCCATTGGTGGAAGAATCTCATTTTCTTTTTTTAACTGTTTTTAAGCAAAAATTTTATTCCAACATTTTAACTGAAATGCATTGAGACTTTCCTGTCAAATGATGCTCTTGGTTTGAAAATTTATACTTCTCTTATTTATGTTTGGTTTTGTGAAAATTTCTTCTCACTGTTCCTCCCAGAGACATCTAGAAATACTGGTTAAGAGGGAGGACTAACATTTTAAATCAGAAATTCAGAGATTTTAGTTGGACTTTTGTCAGATCACAGAGTGTAGTGAGTGAAAAACATTAGCAAGTAAGATTCCATGAGTCCTTGGCTAAGCAGAGGGACTTTCCAGCTCTTCCTTAAAGTCATGCCATCTGACATGTCCCTTCCCCAAGATGGTGGCAGGCCCAGGGAGGTCTGCTGGCTGGTTTTCATGCTTGCAGTGTATGGGCACTTGTTCATCGTGTCTTCTCCTCGTGACCTCAGAAGGAGCATGAGTCTTAACTCTTCTCAGGAAGAGGAGTAAGGTCCTCATGGAGAGCACAGACTTCTGTGGAGATGACCCTGAGGCCTTAGCCACATCTGTGCCTCCAGAACTCAGAAGCCAGGGAGGTGCTTGATAAATAACTAAGAGAGGAAACAACCTGGGTGGGGTTGACCCATGCCCCATACATAATAAGCTGTTGATCTTGTGTTGATGGTTAAAACATATGTATTTGACTGAGAAATGGCTCCAAGCTATATTGGAAGAGAAGATGGTCTTGCAAAGACCAGCCTGTATAAAATGTGAGTTTTTGGCATGACAGGGGAGAAGCCATTTCTGTCACCCTCATGGGGATAGGATCAGTAGAGAGATGCTGGCTGGATCACCCAGGTGGACACAAAGTAATTTGCACCTGGTAGCAATGGTACCAATGAGCAGCTGTGAATTGCTTCAAGCTGCATAGCTGTGATGAAAGTTGAATTCTGTAAAGGTCCCTGTGGAAAGTAGTGGGTGTGTGAAATAGCAAGGCCAACTTTCCAAGGCAGGAATCTTTCCACTATGCCTTTTTGAGGAGGTGAGCCATTTTTAAAAATATAGGCAGCAATGGGTTGGGACATGGTTCTACAGATGGAGAAATCGCAAGCTAGAGATCGCAAGCTAGCTGCGAGTGGAGGTCCAGGTTACAAAGGTGAGGGCTCTGGTTTCTGATGGTGTCTGCTTTCCTAGGGACGGCAGTTTGCTGGCTCCTGGTTCTGACCTTGGTACTAGGAAGTTCCTTTTTCTATTTTTCTCCATGTAAACTGATTTTCCCCCATTTAACATTATGTTTGCTTCATTCTTGGATATCATGGTGTTTTATTCATAGTCTGGAACATTTCCTAGGCGCTGCTGGTCATGGAAGGTGGAGGGCGAGACACCTGGATGGAGGATTGTGAAACCGGGGACCTGGGTTCATGCTGGAGTTCAGCTTCATGGGGTTTCCCGTCCTGTTGTGAGGTTTTGTACACGGAACAATGTCCATGGTCACAAGTAAACTGGCTGTGCAATTAAGAATCTGGTATGGTGACAAGAGTCAGAAGGTTAATCTGTTCATCCTGGTCATTTTAAACAACACCTCCTTTATGTTAAAAGATTTTTAGAGAGAGGGAAAGAGATTTTACAATGTTTTTAAGCAAACTGTGTCTAGATTCAGAAACTTGCTATGAAGGACTTCCTTTTTTTCTTTTCTTCACTTAGCTAATTTTTTAAAGTATTTTTTAAGTATTGCTTTAGCACCTGTTTTAATGAAATAGAAACTCAGTTCTCTTGCTGGTTAAAATGTGCTCCTAGGGTATTTTAAACTTTCTCACTGTCTTTCTGATCATCTTGGTCTTGGATTGTTAGTGCCTTCCTTCAAACGTTTTAGCTTTTATCAAGGTTCTTTCCTTAATATTATTCACCTTTCCCAGTATTTTAAAAATTATTCCACTGAAAATGAATTTTGTATTCTCCGTAAGACCAGGAGAGGCTCTTGTAGAATATAGTGGGGTTGTTTTTTTTCTTCTGTGTCCGAGCCTTCAATGAACAGTCCCCGACAGGATCATTTGTAGCTCATGTACTGTTTGCTGGGGAACATGCCGTCCTCACTACTGGTTGTTCCTCCCCTCGAATCTGGCATCTCGGGGCTTCTACAAGTTCCACATCAGTCTTGGGCTTCATTGGCTTAGACCAATGTCTCCTGGGGTGGCCGTGGTTTCTTTGGGTTGTTGAGAGACCAAAGCATAGGTTTGGAATCAGAAGCCCTAGGCTGGGACTCCAGTTTGGTCACTCAGAGGCTGTGTGATCAGGAAGGATCTGGACTTGCATTCTGCATTATTAGGTTGGAGCAGGATCCTGTCATATTCCCCGAGCCAAATAAAATGATGGATGTAGAAGCCTTTATAATAATAACCAGATGAAAATAACACACACACACACATAGTGGTATATGTAATATTGTTGCAAGCAAACCACTTTATTCTGAAACTTACTTCTGATGCACAAAAGTCTGCTCCACACTGAGGCATGGATCCACTCACCATTTTTACCCAGTGTCGCCATGGCTCACTGGGACAGGGCTCCAGAGCCTGCTGGTAGGAAGTGGAGGTCAAAGGTAACATCACTATAACAGTGCCTGGCCCACAGTGACAGGTGCCCTGGGGCAGCCTTTGGTCATTTTCCCTCAGGTCCAGGCACCTGCATGCAGCTCATTGCCCTTCTGGCCTCCCCTGACTGGGTTGAGCTGCCTGCAGATCTGCTAGGGTCTTGCTATTGTTTCCCCAAGGTGCTGCAGGAAGTCTTAAGAACTCAAAGATTCTGTCTCTGTGAGGGGCTCCCTGCTCACAAGGACTGGGTTCTTACTTTTTACTTTGGCATCAAATAAAGTGTTTCTTACTCCACTTCCTCTGCTCCCAGAGACTGTGAGCCTAAAACCAGGGCAATGTGTTTGTTCCGAAGTGTGATTCTGCTTGCTGGTCACACTCTGCTCGTGCCCTGTGCCCACTGTCCTCCTGGTTTGCTCCCTTAGCCATTGGGTACTCTATACGATAATGCAGTTTTGGGATTTTGGCATCTTCCCACTTTAACGTCCTTGCTTGGATCTCTGTGGGTGTGGACGCACATGTGTGGCTTGAAGGAGGCCAGCCAGAGTCCTGGGCTGCTCCCCACTCCATGCAGTCATGTCTGTCCCTGTACTTTCCCAGAGACACACCAACTCTTTGTTTGAAATTCAACACAGTGTCTGGATGATCCTAGATCAGGTCCAGTTCCTTCTGAAGTTGCTGCTCCCTGTAACAGGACTCATGAAATGAAACCCAATCTTGTTTTGTGACTGTTTCCATGTGGCTGTTCAATCCCTCGCCTGCAGTTGGGTCCCAAGGGGGCAACTGGATATTGTGAAGGGCACAGTGTTGTCCTAGGGATGGTTCAAGCCATTTTAATCATGTGCTAATCCAGTTGGAAGCTTACAATATTTTGTATCACAATTAAAGGAACCAGGGGTCTGGAAAATCTCCTCTCCATGAGACTCTCTCATAAAGAAGCACCAGTCTCTAACACCTCACACTGACTTCGAGAAGACATGGGTGGGAAGAGAGGCAGGTGCAGCAGGGGCCTCATTGCAAAAACTCCATTACAGTTATTTGCAATGAGCTTATTGACATCATTTCATAAGTTCAAGTTTGCAGATGTAGGACCACAGCACTTGCCTCATTCACACGCCTTCCAAGGGAGGAAAAAGCAGGTGCCATAGCAGGTGCTGTCTAACTGAAGTGCTTTGGAGGTGCGCAGTGTGGAGCCAGCAGCTGGGGTCATCATCAGGGCCTGGTCACCTCTGCAGAGCCTCCACACTGCGGAGTTGGTGCCTGCACGTCTATACCGATCCCCTGCAGTCAGGGCTTGGTTCTGGTTGGATTCCTCACTTCTTCTGAGCAAATCTTTTCCAGTATCTGGAAGAAATGCCAACAGACTTTTGGACAAGGCTGTTATGAGCTGGTTGATATTAGAAATAAAAAGAACAGGATGATCCATAACTGGTTTTTTTCACTCTGAGAAAACTGTCCTGGGTTTGTTTGCTTTTCAAAGCAAAATGCAGCATAGCCTTTGGAGCTCGGGGCCGCACCTGAGAGACAGAGGGTCCAGGGACTCACTAGGTTCATTTCTCCTGCAGGTGATGTTCAGATTCCGGGACCTCCCACCAACGTGCAAGCCTGTGAGATCAGCAGAAATTATGTGGTCCTCAGCTGGGACCCCCCCACTCCCCGGGGCAAGGAGCCGCTAATGTACTTCATCGAGAAGGTACGCCGCCAGGCTCCTGACAAAGCCCACCTCACGCTGCCTCATGTGCTGTGCTTGATGGCGGGGCGGAGACCCCATCAGTCACTACAGCTCACGATGCTGCACTTAAGATGAGGCTACGGGAGGTGGGGGCAGAACTGTGACCAACAGGGCTGTTCTGCGAAGGAAACTGACTAGAGGGAAAAGGTATTCAAGTTGGGCTTTGCTCCCTCCTGTGTGAGCAGGGCTGGTGCTCGGCATTCTGGCCTCTGGGTCCCCCATGGTCCAGCCAGGAGCTGGGCTTGCTGGCTCCGCACTCTCCTTCCTGCTTCAGAAGACAGTAGGGGTCCCTGGGAAGCAGCAGGTCACCCATACTCAAGTTTTGCACGCAAGCCGAGTGGCCACTGGGTGGCAATCTTGTAGAGGGAGCCGTGCCAGCTGAGAAGGCTTTGTTGACCTGGAGACACAAATTACAACATGGATTGTACTTTTCAGCTCAGGGCACACACACCACCCACATACATGTACACACGTGCAGCCAATGCCACAAATGAAAAACCCAACACTGCATTTTTTCTTATTACTCTTTAGAGTCCTTCAAACCCTGTATGGTTGTTTTGTGATACTGAATTTATATCAGAATATGAAATAGAATGGAATATGTAATTCAGACATACAGCAGGGGACATGACACTTACATGAGCACATGCTACAAGCACAGCAGAAGCAGAATGGGAGTGAGTATTTCAGACTCCCCCGGCTTCCCTGTTTATCTGCCATGCTTGGTGAGCTGACCACAGTAACTGGATGGCAATGTGGTTGTTAGTCTTATGAAAGCACAAGTGAAGCTATCCTCAGATGGAGGCACTTCCTCGGCCCCTCATTTCTCAGCTCACTGGAAGTGTCAAGCATCACAGACACACATAGAAGGAGGACTCCATCTTGGAGCCAGCCTGTTGGGGACCTGTTCGGCTGCCAGTGGTGGTGGCCCAGCAGACATGTGGTTTGATAGAGATGAGGGATCTCCCACACAGCTGCAGTGAGCAATGCTGTCTGGACCCGGGTGCTGTGCACAGTGGGGACCTGGTGGGGCTGGAATTTTCACTTAGCACTGGAGCTGGGAGACACCAGGTGTGGGGACAAATGCCATGGACTCTTCTGCAATCAGCTTATGGGGACTGGTCCATCCCAGTCTCGATAGTGTGATCTTGGGGTGACTTGTTCCTCTCACGTCCCCAGAGGACTGTGGGAATAGTCACTAGTCACAGCTCGCTCCTCTCTCCATGGCTCCTGAATGTTCTGTCTGTGCTAAGCCCATGCACGAGGCAGTGTGAACTGCAGTGACATAAACAATACCTTTGGCTTTGGCCTGTCCATCAGCTCACATTGGAGTGCATGGTGCCAACATGGAATTTCCCCTAAGTGAGCCCTGGGTGTCCCTCCAAGTGTGCTGCAGCCGAGCGTTCTCTCCTCTGGGTGGGTCACAATGCAAAGAGTGATCCTCCATGTGTGGGTGATGAGCTCTGTGATGCCCTGTGTGTGAGGTGGCAGGCCTGGCACCTGCTGTGTAGTGCCCAGGTATGCGGCCAGCAGGCCCTAAGAGGACAGATGACTCAGGAATTGGGTTTGGCCCCAAGCCCTTCTTGGGCTTGTAGACACGTGCTACAAGGCGTGGCAGCCTACACTCCTTCAGGGTCTTGCTCTTTGTACAGGATGGTTTTTTTTCCTCTGGCCTGCCTGGGCTGAGTATCTTCTGTGGCCCTTCTGCTGTCTAGACAGGACTTACAGAGCCAAGAGGGGAGTGACCCTCAGGACGCCAGTGGAGCCTTTTCATGGGCACCGGCTTCCATGAACACTTCCTAAAAAGTGGCTTCTGCTCTTGCCAAAATGAAAGAAGACTTATGCTTTAACCATGAACCTGACTTCCAGAGCCCGGGTCGCTGTCTGACACTCTCCCGGTTATTGTCAGTAGGTGTCAGCAGGATCAATGTACATCCTCTTTTCTTGCCCCCAAATTACTTTCAAAAAGAGAATTTTATCTTTGTAGGAAAAAAACCCAAACATAACTGAGTTTTTAAATATCCCAAGGATGAGAATTGTACATGTAGTGTAGGAATTTGTTAGACTACAGAGAAGTTGTGCAGAACAGAGTTAAAATCACCAATAATTCATCATATAAAATAGCCACTCTTAACATGTGATGCAGAACACTCAGTCTTCCTCCACAAGCTTTGGTTTTTGGCAGTTCAGGGGTCTTGTGCTTGCTAGGCAGGTGCTCTACCACTTGAACCATTACCCCCCCCACCCCAGCCCCTTTTGCATTAGTTTATTTTCCAGGTTAGGTCTGAGTTTTCCTGCCTCAGACCTCAATCCTCCTACCTCTGCCTCCCTCTTAGTTGGGATTACAGGCATGAGTCACCATACTCATCCTGCCACAAGCTTTTTATGCACTTTGCATTGCATCACAAAATGACATATTCCTCTCATTAGAGTTGTGTCCTTATGCAATGATTTAAGCAGCTATATGTTTTCCAGTATCTGAGCACACTGTCACATGCCTTCTGCTGTTGGTGACTAAACTTTTTCACTACTGTAAGTAGCTGCAATCTGGTACACATTATTACATATGAACCACTGAGTAGCAATGGAATTTTATGAATGTTCTCATTTATCTTTCATTATTTACAGTTCGTTCTGTTTTACTCAGACTGCAACCAACACACTAGTTCCTGTATATTTTCTGCAGTTTACTTCCTTTAATGGAGACATTTTTTTAGTAAAATTCCAAACTCAGGCAAGTTCTTACCTATTTCTCCAAATTGGCATCACGGTTGTAAAATTCACAACCGACTTCTTGTCCCTGAATTGCCGTTTCCCCCTCACCTTGGGCTCCTGCCTCATTCCCCTTCTCTGCCTCCCTCAGTCTGTGGTGGGCAGTGGCAGCTGGCAGCGAGTTAATGCCCAGACGGCCGTGAGGTCCCCACGATACGCCGTCTTCGACCTCGCTGAGGGAAAGTCCTACGTGTTCGGGTGTTGTCAGCCAACAAGCACGGCCTGAGCGACCCTCGGAGATAACGGCTCCCATCCAGGCGCAGGACACAACAGGTGAGCCGTGCTGGAGAATGGATGAAGTCCACCTGGGTCATGGTCAGTGCCACTGCCCAAAACCTCATTTCACAAGGACACAGCTGTCGCTGTGTGTGGTGGCTCTCAACGGGGCTTCAGAGTTCTGTCTTCTTTCCACGAAACCAACAAAGGTTGAAAAGTATGTCCCCGGTCACCTAAAAAACCCCAGGCCTAAATGTAGAAGTTTCTCACCCTCTGGCTTGCAGGAAGATTTCAAATGCAACTCACAGGAATTCCGAATTGGTCTATGCCAGGTGTGGCCCTAACAGGAGGCCTGCTGGAACCTGATGCTTTTGCACAAGACGGGTCTGGTGCCCGGAATTCCTGTTCTGACAGCCTAGCTGGGACTCCACTCCCCTCCCCCTCATGCTGTGTTTTACAAGAAAGGTTGATATCAAAACCAGCAGGTGACAGGCTGGCACCAGGACTAGAGTCAGGCTGCTTCTGGTCCTCCCTGGTTCTGGTCTGGTTCTGGTTTAACTGAAGGCCTTAGAATTCAAATCCAGAACTACGGGCTGACACACTGCCCCTCTCAGCAGAGGCCTGGCCTGTATTCACTTCCTGGCACATGGAAAAGTGACAATAATTAACAGGCATGGGGATAAAGCCCAGGTGTCTGGCCGATCCAGTTGGTGGCTGAGGTGGCTGGTAACCCAGGCAGCTGGCTCTGGGTCAGTAGTGACATCGGCGCTAAAGGACCGGTGACCACAGTCCACTGGGGCCTGACATGAGATGGGGAGGCCTGAGGGTTGAATTGTGACTTAATTCTGAGTCGCTTTACAGAGCCCCAAGAATCTGACACATTTCAATATGGCCTTATGTAGTCAGGCAAACTCTTCAGGCCCCTGACCCTTTCTGGCAGCTCGATGGAGGTGCAGATTTCTTGGTGGTAATTATTTTCCTTCAGAGTCAGGGGTATACTGGGAGTGGCAGGCTGTCCCACCTCCCCTGCTGTGCCCAGCCCTTATGCCCTTATCCAGAACCTCCAACCTAGCTTGCACCCCTGTGTCTCTGGGGTAGCTTGCTCTGACCTGCCTCCCCATCTTCCTGCCTCCCCGCAGTGGTTCCTTCTGCCCCGGGGAGGGTGCTTGCTTCCCGGAACACCAAGACGTCAGTCGTGGTGCAGTGGGACAGGCCGAAGCACGAAGAGGACCTGCTGGGCTACTACGTGGACTGCTGTGTGGCAGGGACCAACCTGTGGGAGCCGTGCAACCACAAGCCCATTGG